TGATTGTGGCAGCACAGGGAGCATTATGTTAAGTAAACAAGCTAGCCACACAAAGACTAATACTTCACAACACCATTTATATGAGACATCCAGGACATTTTGGCTCATAGCAGCAGACAATAGAATAGCAGAGAGAGAGAGAGAGAGAGAGAGAGAGAGAGAGAAAAACAGAGGCGAGCTGTACCTAGCGTCCTTTGGAGAGAAATGCTCTCTCAGTTCGATAAAAGTCCAGAAGAGTGGAGGTTTCTAGCCAAACTGCAGGCAAGCCTGGCTGGCTTTTTGCCTGTTTAATTAGCTAAATTTGATTTTTGCCTTGAATCTTATTTTATATTAGAAAGAACCAAGGGGCTTTAAGAACAATAGAATTCAGCTTCTCTTACTTCACTGAAGAGAACTAGAGTACAAATTTTTTTCTTAAAAAGAATGAAAATCTCCTGAGCCACTTAAACCTTTATTGTGCAAATTAATGTTGCCACAAGTTGTGAGCAAGTTGATGTCTTGCTCAAGACAGAGGGGAAAGTTGCCTAGGGCTGCCTAACCTGCAGAGTTTGTATATCCCTCATCCCATACAGCCTCTTTATAACATTCACTCCATCCTTTCTGGACTTTTCCCTGAGATAAAAGTAAGTACTAGTACATATTTCTTTAAGGTTAGGCAAAAATAATCTAGAACAATTGCTTCACCAAATAACCCCATTTTAAGAGTGTTACAAATCCAATGTCTGTTATAAAACTAGGGAAAGAAACCCTTCATCAAATTAAAAACATATTAAAATAGAGAAAAAAATGAGCCCATTTTCATTGTTTTAATTATTTTAGGCTCCTTTGGATTTTATACTGCCATTTCTGTTTAAATGTAAACTAGTCTCATAAAGGGTACCATTGATATGAAACAAGATAAACTTTACATAGTGATATATTTTCAAAACCATGTACACAAAGCAGGTTTGTAATTGAAAGAGTCTCAGAGATGTGAAAATTAACAAGAGTTCTTGAAATAAGGCAAATGCTCTTAATAAGAATGCCCCTAATTTAGTTTATGCCTCTGTGTGAATTAATTAGGCAGGTATTTTAGAAAAAGACATGGAATGTTTATCTGGAATACTGGATTGAAAGAAAGCTGTTCAGGGTGAGAAGATTTAATCTGAGATAGACATATCATATTGGGTAATTTAGCATAAATTAAGAGATTCACTTTTTGCTACTTCTCAAAATCTCCTTTCCTTAGGTTTGTTCTATCCCAAGCTGTAAGCGCCTGCTTGTTGTTAAATTAGCCTGCCACTGACCCCTAGTGGTCTCCCAGGAATCATTTAATTCTCAGAAGGTTACAAACCTTTAGAAACAAACTCCTTTAGACCATCTTGTAAGTGATAGAAAAGAAACTTTTTAGATGGTCTCATTAATTTTAATAATGTCAGATGTGTACTTACAGGTGGAACTTTGAGACAGTTTTAAAATTTGATCTCTTAATTCAGGGAAAAAATACCTCTAAAGCTTCAGAAATTCTGGAGTATGAGGAAACACAATCATTTGCAAGTTTACTTAATGCATTTGTAGTTAAACCCAAATAATTTAGAATGGTGAACTGAATTACTTGGTGGAAGAAATATATTTTCCTATGCAATTGTATAAGTGATAACATAGTCACATGAATATTGTATATTATAGTAATATATGTTTAATAAAGATCTGATGGCCTATCTTCTTATATACTGACTTGTATATTTCATGTGAAAATGGGCCCTGTAATTCTACTTAAGCCACTAAAATGCTCCACTAAGTTTCAAATCACCATTAATGAGTAGAGTACATATTCAGGAAAGCAATTTCATCAAATCTTACTGCAATTACTTTTCATAAAATTCATTTTAAAGTCCAGTGATTACAAGGTAGGTTGGGAATAATGAATTTCTAAGAAATATTACCATGGGGAAGAGGGGATGGCTAAGGGCATTATTTAAGCCTGAGTTAAAGCTTCCACCCTGAGTGTAATATACTCAATTTGATGTGTTGTTCAGGAAAAGTTACTCCACATATGACAGGAATGAAATCTTATTTGAAGAAGCCTTCATGACTAACGTGTGCCTCTTTGACCATTTTGTGGTGGGCACATTTATAATCTGGCTGTGAAATATGGCTCAGTTTACCAGACATAAGTATAGTTGTATAGTAGGCCATGAGATGTTATTTCATCCATTTGAGGACATGAAAGTGCAATTCTGTAGACTATTTGAACTTGACATTTCCCCATTGGGCTGAAATAGGATAAAATGTAAACTATATTCTCTCTGTCATCTCTGGGTATATGTTACCATTTCTGGTGGGTGAAAAAAGCTTTTTGACATTTGAATGTATATTTCTCTCTTGGATTCTATCTCAAGTTTCTTTGATTTTGCATTAATATTCACTTGTAATTTTATTGATGAACAAAGGGTTTAAAATCTTGATGGAATGCTTGTTGCATTCTTGGCTCTGTGCTTGACTTAGAGGATCCAAATGTAATACAGTCCTTTCTCTTAAAAAACTCACTTGCTCTTTCCCAAGTGCATGTCTTCCCACTTACGGGTCTTATGGCAGTGCAAACCAAGGAAACATTAGTTCATGCTTAGTCTTATTACATTAAGCAGAATTTCTTCTTAAATGAGTTTTGTATGCAGCTGATCTCTTGGTTAATGACTAGAAAATTTCTGTGTTTCTGTATATATGCTGATTTGCTGGAAAAAATCAGTATGTTATATGTACTGATTTGCTCGATAAATTTAAAAGGTAATTCTAATCAGACCATAGCAGGAAGATAGCATTTTATTAAGCAAAATGGGAGAGCTACTATTGAGATGCCTCACTTTTTTTTTTTTCAACATTCAAGGTTTTTCCCCTGCTGAATGGCATAAGGTTGATTTTAAATAATGCACTAAAAGGTAGGGTGATCAGTTACAAATATACATCAGATAAATATAAAAAACACAGGCTTAAACAAAACATTGGCATGCCCTTGAATTTGCAAAGTTGGTTGAATCAGTAAGTGAAATGTTTTCGCATTATAGTCATATTTCCTATGCAGAGCCAGAAAGTTTGGGGAAATGACTATTTAAACGTACAGCAGATGATGACTTGTTAGCTGGTTTCAAAGGCTGGTTCTTTTGCCCTTGTTGCCAAGGAGGGCTTTGGAGGAGGAGAGAAGATGTGTTCCTCTCTGCCAGACCAGCCAGTGGTACAGCTTACATCCCACTCACTCACACTCAGAGAAAAAAGGGGCCAGATCTGAGCGTACAAATCAGCACCATCAATGTCTCTCAACTGTGAGCTGTGGGAGCGCTTCAGGCATGAACCAAGAGAGGAGAAGGCTGGGCTCATTCTGTTTCAGAAATATTTATTAGAATAACCCCAAGGGAAAAAATATTTTCTTCTTGTATAGCCCTGTGCTAACCTGTTATACCTAAAAGCCCTGAAATACATTTTTTATGCTTTCCTAAGAAATTTGAAAATGTTTCTAAAATCTCCATATTTTTCAGCACCTTTCTAACTTCTTCCTGATAATGAAAGCTCTAAGAATATGAGAAAATGCTAAAAATTGGAAATGATGTACATTCTCCGATAGTTGGTGGGCTCTCACACATTTCAAAGTTGAGAGCTGAAATACTTGTTTGCCCTATCCTACATGACAACCAGCAATGCCTTCAGATACGCAGGCCTGTTCCAGAAACACAAAGTGTGGAATCTTAAAATACTGGGTGAATGTGGGTGGTCATGCAGTGCTGATATACATAAGTATATTAGAAAAGGATTTCTTTCTTCTGCTCTTGGAGGTCTCTCTCCTTCCCACTTCCTGCTTAGGGTTTATTCACTTTTCCAACATTTTCTACCAACTTTTAAGCAAAAGAAAATATTTAGCTAATATTTTTCTGTTGTGCAAACTCCAATTGAGCCTATAGTAACCAACAGTTTGCCTGACTTTTTGTCTAGATACTGTTCATGACTGGGTTCACAGCCTCTTTCTCTGTCACTATCATCATAGCAGAATCGTGCAGCCTGGCACCATTTCAGTTAATGTAGGAATCTCCACTGAGCAGTTGTTTGTCCCCTGTGACTGCAACAGGTTGTAACGAAAATGAAGCAGACCATTTGGACCGGGACCAGCAGCCTTATCCACCATCACAAAAGACCAAGCGTATGCGAACCTCCTTCAAGCACCATCAGCTCCGGACCATGAAATCCTACTTTGCCATCAACCACAACCCGGATGCCAAGGACCTCAAGCAGCTTGCTCAGAAAACAGGCCTGACTAAAAGAGTTTTGCAGGTAAGACTCCTCTTCACTGGCTGCGCATACATCTCCCTTTCCCTTGCCAGTAAATAGCTCTCGTCCCCATCTACCTGATATGACTATTTCCTGTTTTGCTTCTCAGTAGTTTATCTTAGTCACCTCCTTAGAAGGTATGCTGAGATTTTGCAGGGGCTTCCTGAAGGGTACTCAGAGAGAGACCCAGGGTCTTTTAAGATGCAGCCACATTCTCCCTACAGATGGGGAGAGGGTCTCCAAGCTGCCCTGCAAATGAAAGTGATGTTATCTGCACAAGTCCTAGCTCTAGAGATTCCCAGGCATATTAGGCTCGGGCCACCATCCTACATCAGCATGCTCTCGGCAGCCTCATGCAGACCTGATGACCTTCCCAATTCAGGTGGAGTTTCTCCTCCCCCAGCCCCACAAAAGCCAAAAGTATAGTTAGCATCTTGGCAACTAATTGGAGCAAATTTAACAACCCATAATTAAAAGCTGGGAGTTAGTTCTGTGGTCCAAATGCTTCCCCAAATTCATCATGGTAAGAATATGTAACTATGCAATTATAATGGCTTGCTGTGCATCACCTGTGAGCTCTACTTCTCGGTGACAAACCACAGGTATTTTGGATTTTGACAAGTTGTCTCGCGCTGATTTGAGTCTGTGGCCGGGGAGGACATATTATTGGGTGTCAGACTCAAGAGTAGTTTAAACCGTTTCAGTGATGTTCATTTCATAGAAGTGGTTTTTACCTCGCAACAGTAGGTGCCCCTGCTTCTCATTCTCAAAAGACAACTCTTGAGGAATCGGGGTGTATTTCTCCCCTTTTATCTCTGTGCCTTTATTTCCTTGGTATCTCCAGCGAAGCATCAGTGGTCCCAGGTGGCACTTGTTGATGCTGATTTGATGACCTTCCAGATTGGCTGGGGGGAAATATGTGCAGCTGAGGGAGAATACATCTGCAGTGTCGCTAGCATTACTCTGTTTTAAAACAGAGGAAAAAAAGTCCTTTCCTTCCCAAGGACAGTAAGCAATTATATTTTAAAGAAGAAATATTTTTAAAAAGAGGAAATAGGAAGAAAAAAAAAGAAAGGAAGAAAGAGAGAAAAAAATATATAAAAGTAAACATCGGTAAAGAAATCAATTGGGATTGGTTTGCAGGTTTGGTTCCAAAACGCACGAGCCAAATTCAGAAGGAACCTTTTGCGGCAGGAGAATGGGGGTGTTGATAAAGCCGATGGCGCGTCGCTTCCGGCCCCGCCCTCAGCAGACAGCGGAGCCCTCACTCCACCCGGCACTGCGACCACTTTAACAGACCTGACCAATCCCACTATCACTGTAGTGACATCTGTGACCTCTAACATGGACAGCCACGAATCCGGAAGCCCCTCACAAACTACCTTAACGAACCTTTTCTAACATTGGTTTATTTTTTTTAATTCTTCCTCTTTATTATTATTCTAATTATTATTATATTATTATTTACAAGACTTTTTTTTTTTTCCTTCTAACCCGTAAAATATTTGGGGAATAAAAATAATAGCTTGGTGTGTAGCATCTGCAGCCACTTGGCAAATGAGTTTACAGTATTGTCTCCTTTAAGTAAACATAGTTTGTCTACAAAGTGTATTTGGATTTTTTTTTTCTTTAATTAGGTCTCTTAGTTGGTGACGGGAGTTTTTGAATCATTCTAATAAGTGCCTCTTAAAATTGTATGTTACTTATTTCCAGAATCTCGAAGAAAAAAAAGAGTGGTATTATGATGAGCAAGTAATCATATTCCTGCTTAAGTGATTAGAACAATGAACCAGATAATGAGTTATTCTTAAAATCCTGTGATTATATGTATGATTATCGAATTTTGAAATCTTCACATTTAAAAAATTTTAAGACTAAATAAAGTGTACTGAGTATTCCTATCTCTTATCTGAACTGTTAATTCAAATGAGGAATGTGATTTAACAAAGAACTTAATAATAGTAATTTTAAATAGTCATGATTAACTAGGTGGGAAATTTATTCCAGAAATGTGACTTTTCCTTCTCTTAGGGATTAAAGTCCTCAGGTTTTTTTTTTTTTTTTTACTTAGTTATTTCCTTTTCAACATTTAAAAAATTAAACTCCCTGTGTATCCATGAAATTTCCAATTAGAATTTATAGCTCTATACTTTGACCTCTTAAAGCTAAAAAAGAAAACAAAAAACCACCTAACAAACAACAACAAAATGTAAAAAGCTCTGAAACCATTCTTTCCACCTTACTTTTTTTCTTAAGGAAAATGGAAATAAGCAAAATATAATTTTTTAAGAAGTCAAAAAATTTGGTATACTTTAATTAATAAGTCTATTAATTGGCTTCAGCTGTACCATGATATTGTATCTGACATTCTATATGAATAATTTTTTTAAAAAACAACTTAGTAAAATGGCACCAACAATGATAATTCTTTGGCTTTGTTTTCTTTTTGGCATATGTTGATTTATATATAAAAATACTTTTCTGACATTTGAGATTTGAAATTAGTCTTAAAATAGATAAACTCAGAAGCCTTGTGGATGCTGATCTGAATATATTTCCTAGTTTACAGTAGCATTTTTTTCCTTTTAATTTAAGGTAAAATCTTAATGGTCTGGGCAGTGGTGAATGTTCATCTATATGCTTCTGTTGTAGTTAAATACCAATTAGATTGTGGATTTCCTAAAAAAAATAAAAATAAAAAGAAGTCAAGATATATGTCTTGCTTTAGTGGATTGTTAAGAATAACTTTGCACATATTCTCCACTTTTTTGGACCCCTTAAATCTCCTCTGATGGTCTAGGTGGCTATTTAATAGATTTTCAAGGTGTCCTCTGGCTGTATAAATGTGTGGTTACATATTGACAGTTCACTGCCCACATTAAAGTGCATTATTGTAACTTTTGCTCAGGGTCTTTAGAAAATTAGCACAGAAAGTAGCTTATTTTTAAAAAAAAGATGATGGAAGATAAGTTAACACTGTAACAGAAGAAAGGTGTGATTGCCATTATATATTTAGCAAGTGTGGTTATCATCTTATATGGAGCTTAAATCTTGACTTTTCATATTTCTATTACATTTTGGGCATTTACCACTAACCAGACCAAACAACCTTGGTAAGGCTAAGATCTTATTAATACACTTTTACAGGTAAAATATTGATACTTATAAATTTTGTTCTTTGACAGAACAATATATGGTACTATAGATCTACTTTATTAAGTAGACTAATTATAACTCAGTTCTCCTATGTGCCTTATGATATAACTTGGAAGTAAGTTTGTGAAAATCAGGATTATATGTGTTGTTTGTTAAATTAACTGTTTTAAGCCCTTTTGACACCTCACTAGTTTTGTACTGTTTTACCTCTTATTTCTGAAACTCTTTTTATGGTGTATCCTGTTAGAGGGGACAAACATGTCATAGAAAGCAGTTGTGCACTCTTTCAAATATAGTTGATAAATTCAATAATCTTATATATTGAGCTTCGTGTTTATAGTACAGTAAGTGGTCTAGCAAAATTGTCCATGTTTCTTTGTTTATTGATAAATGCATTGTATAGAAACTATTTCCCCTAAATATTTATGGACCAAACAATTGTGATATATCCTATTAAATTTGTGTGAATAAACCATTTTGAATCTAAGGAGTTTTATTTCCCATCAGTTTTATTTAAATTTTACTGGTTTTAGTGTCTTTTCACTATATGTAAAAGCTATTAAAATGATAGTATATATTTTTAATGTTCAAACATACAATAGTTTTAGATTTCCAGACTTTTCTGATTCATATAAATTGCACACACCATTGCGTATGCAATGTCATTCCATCTTGAATTACCTTTAAATATATTTGCTTATAATAAAAGTAATGCCCCACCAATTTGCCTCACTCCAATTTTAAGAATAAAAAATAAATTTAGCAGATAAAGTAATTGCATGAAAAGAAACCTTAAATATGAGTAAGAGTTAATGCTAGGTCTATTGAGCAAAAATGAATATTTGTAAGTCTAAATAGAAATTGCAGACCCCTAAAAGCCACGTTGCTCTGTAGTTAATAAATTGTCACTATGATTTTTTTCAGGGAGAACAAATCTTGGGGCATTACAGCCAAACATCCCGACGTTTGAAAATTCCCTAAAGTATTAAAAGAAGGGGAAAAGTTTGATCGGAAATCCACTGCAGTGAAGACAAAGACACTATTAGGTTACGATAATCATACATTTAAAAATTTATTGAGCCAAAAAAAACGATAGAGAGAGAGTGAGACTTAAATGTCATTTATTGAATGTTAACAAAACTTCTGTTCTTTATGATGTCTAACACAAATGAAGGCTTCAAATTATGTGATTTTTAAAAAATTAGATAAACTATGTATAAACCAGAGCAACCTGGCAGTAATATGCCCACACCATATTTGGAGAAAACTATTACTGAAAAAAAAAATCCCACACATTTGTCAAGCACAATAGTTGTAAAATAAAGTCCAGAAACATTCATTTCACCTGCTTGCTAATGTGTATTAGTCCTATCTGTTAATGGCATTTTCCAATTGTAAATTCAAAGAAAAGCTATCACTCATTTAAGAGTATAGGGATCAAAATGCAGTAATTTTAGTATTATTGTTTATTACTTCCTTTTTAAACAGAAATCTCTGCATGCACTTTTACATCTGTCACCTCCAGTGTTCATCTCTGTAACAATGACTTATCTTTGCTGTTTCTTGTATGATAAATAGCTTTCATTAATAAACATTTTATTTGACGCAAACATAGTTAACTTTATGTTAAACACACACTGTTGAAATTAATTTTGAACACTGTCTTAAAGAGGCAGCACAGTACATTTGCAATTTGTTATACTTAGGAAAAATTCAAACAATACAATGAGGTGAAATTGTGGTAGTCTAGGATGAAATTACTTTGTTTTTAATTTTCATGATTTATTTTATTTTATATTTCATTGGTACATACATGAAAAATAAAAATGTAAACCCAAATTACAGCAAAAGCAAATCTCAGAATAAATTATTGTGCAAAATTGCAGCAACTTTTTCAGATCAGGGTAAAATACATGGATCCTGTATGAGTTTATGTGCTCACTATGCAGTGAGCAAATTTATTGAAGTATGCAAACATATTCTGAACTATGAAAAGATCCAATCTTTGCATAGTTCACATTACATTGATATCACAAACAAAGGAGCAGGTGGAAAGAAAAAACATTTGGGAATGAGGTCTTTTTAATTGTTAAAGGAAATATTTGAAGAAAGAATTTTTTAACTATTCCTGTTCAGCTGTATATCCAAAGCATATGTTAAACAAATTAACATAAAAATACTTTCCGGAAAATTTTTCATTATGATAAAACTTTTATTATATACAAATGAACCCTATGTAAATGATGTAACTTTTATGAATAACAGACATTAAATATTTCACTTACATATATTCTCAGAATTTTGAATGTTTTCTTAAATGCTTCCTCTTCCTGAATACTAAAAAAAGAAAAAAATGAAGAAGAGAAAGGGAGAGAGGCAACGTACTACTTACTACTTCTTCTACTACTAAAGAGCAATGCATCATGACAAGTAGGCTGTTTTGAGTGATCAAGGAACATGTTGGTTTTGTCAGTAACTTGAATGTTTATGTCTCATTGAAACCTCATCTGTGGCTACAGGAACCTAAATAGATTTTCCAATGCATTTTCAGCCAGTTTATTCACATCTTTGTCCTACAAGCTTTGCCTTCTTTCCGAGTTCTGTCACCTATGGCATTTTCATTTAGAAATATTTTTGGAACTTTGCCTGGCATTACAGACCTTTAAATATTTGTCTGGTATGTGAAATGTGGGAAGAGACCAAAGAAGGAAGGAACACAACTGAAATTAGATATTTTTTTAAAAATGCAAATTTGAAACAGTCACATTTTAAAAAGGAAAGAGAAATGGAGCACTGATTATGTAAACAGGAAGAGGAAAAAGCTTGTGATGCAGAGCTGGACGATCATCACACTTGCCCATGACAGACAGCTGTCCCTGACGCGGGGCAATGACAAACTTATTGTCTGGCATGGAATGGAAAATGTGGACTTCTTAGATGGACGCAAGGCATCAAGTTTTTACAGCTTCTACCTCCCAGATGCCTGTGTTAGTCTAACTTCTGGCAAAATGATCTTGGGCACAAAAAGCTTTCCTGAGAGTTAGTGTCTGTGAGCTTTGGTTGAGTAGCCACTTAAAGGTTGATTTACATAGGAGATAGGTTTTTGATACCTCAAATAAGGATAAAACTTCATAATAAAGAAACCAAAGGAGACATCCTTGAAATCTCAGTGATTTTTCATTAACTAAAATATAGATAGCTCTATTTAACAAAATCCCAGTGGAATCTACTGTACATTTGTTGTGGAGTCAAAACATTTTTTTTTATTAACCACATATGGCAGTGTGCCTGAAAAGGATGTTGTGGTGGAAAGCATTAGAAATGGGAAGTTCTGAAATGGAAATTCAAACTCATGTTATTCTAGGCTCTTAAAGAGAATATTAGGGAGGGCCAGGGATTTAGCTCAGTGGTTCCGGTGCCTGCCTCGAAAGCACAAGGTCCCGAGTTCGATCCCCGGTACCAAAAGAAAAAAAAAGAAAACATTAGAGAATATTAGGGATAATGCAGTTATGAAAAATAAATACAAAACGCCTAATTTTGTATGGAGTTTTGTTATTTAATTTTTGACTATATTAAAAACAAAGTTAGCTTAACTTGCAAAAAGAGCATGTACTCTCCAGGTAATTCAGTTCATTTAGCATTTTGTGATCATTAGACATCAGGGGAAATTACGGAGGCCAGGATTTAGTTTAAATTGAGAAAAAATACCACTGCATTTTCTTTGAATATGACCATAGATTAATTCTGTATTGGCCTTGTGGATCTCTTTTCTATTTTTAGTGACAGAGAATAAAATTTTGAATATTGAAATTAGACAAAACCCTGATGCAAGATCATTACAGTGTCAAAATAAGAAGTTATTTTCTTTGTGATTTGTTATTGACTTTAAGCATTTTAAAAATCATACTCTCCTCCCATTACATTCTTTAGGATATTAAGATTTTCCCGTATTTCAAAATAAGTTAAAATTCTAAGTTAATATACTATTTTGAATATCCTCTTGGGAGATTTCCATTTCATTTCACCCAGTTCCATAGCAAACAAACCAACAACAAATTAAAAAGTTCAGAACTGTACACGATACTCAAGGAAATGTCTCTGAATATGATGTGAATGGCAATATTATTGCCTCAACTCATTTTCTCTTTAAGTGTGTTGAAAAATAGATATTTTTATCTAATATACTCCTTTTGCAACATTTCTCTGTGAATATTAACATAGTTAACCCTTCCTTGCCATGTATCACATCAGCAAGTTTCTCTTCCCTTGGATTATTAATTTTTGCTTCTTTGCAATACATTTTATCTTATGCTGAAATGACAAAACAGGTAAGAATAAAGATCCAGGTATTAGCCATATTAAGAAAGTTCCTGGTGTGCATTTCTGTGTACTTTTCCCTTCCACATTAGAATTGTCAGGAATGTTTCTTTCCCTTGGAACTTTCTGTTTACATCTTGCATGATCTTATAAATTGATCTGAAGAATAACTGGATACCTTTTATGGTTATCTGAAAATAAAATTTGCTACAAATAAGATGTTCCAGTCTCTGTTGCCTCATATTATGCAGGAAGATATTCATTTTTTTCTATACTGTCACATCAAATCAGAAAATATTAACCTCAGAGGATATTTAAATTATTATTTATAACAAATATGCAAGGTGAAATGTGAATGAGTTTACCTTTACTTGGTCATTTGCATTCTGCTTCTCTTCCTTTTTCAAAGCAGAATAAATCATGAAGGGTTATCGCCTTTAACTCTGACATTCAAGGGTTTTGACAGCTTTTATCACTTAAATTCTTTACTCAGTAAACTTTATAAAATAAAGGCCATTTTTTGAAATGTGATTTTTGAAAAGTACAAAGGTACTTCAGGATTTTAAGCAGCTAAAGTTGTTTGAATTCTGAAAGCAAGTTTCTCAGGAGAAAACTAGAGGGGAAAATTATTTTTATGACTAAATTTGTAGCATTTTGTCTGATTAACCTAGATGCTGTACAGGAATTTTAGGGATCTATTGAAACCTGAATGCTATGAGGTAAATAATTAATTGATGGTATTTTTCTATAATATAAATTGAGATAGCTTACTTTATGAACATGATTACATAGTTATGTTCATAGATCTGAGGTTTCTTCCTAAATATTTTGATGAGAAGATGTCTATATATCCAAGGATTCTGATTTCATTCTCTGTTCACTTAATTTCAGCATCATGAGCCTGTGTGTTTGTGTGTGTGCGAGTGTATGTGTGTGTGTGTGTTGTATATTTTCTTCCTAATACCCATAAAAAGAAATATACTATTAGGAAAGAAGACATCCTTATTTAAACCAGTTTTAATTAAAAGAAGAAAAAAAGTCAAAATAATGGCTTTTTTTCAATTGAGATATTGTAATAGGCCTGGGTTTCATGAGCCTCACAAGAAACACCCACAAATGCCCTTGCTAATGCAATAGTAATCTTTCTATGTTCTATGTAGTTTCACTCACTTGATTGAGCTTGGCCAGAGTTTCCTTCTTACTCTAATTATATCGCTGTTTTGAACTTTTCTGTCCAACCACCTTTAACTAATGCTTATATTACAACACTGTTGAATAGCTTAATTTGCTTTATGTATTAAAAGGGGCAGAGTGACAAAAAGATTCTTGTGCAATTCAAAGAGAATATTTTGGTTTAAATTATTAGATATTACAGAGGTTGCCTCAGTGAGGTCATGACATTTAATTTATTGATGCGTGTGTATAAACACGTATTCACTATGGCATAATAAATGAGCTTACTGTGTATTAGATAGAGCTAGATGCTCAGGCTTACCATGAGACAGTTTTTCATATAGGCAACTTCAGTTGTCTAAATCCCCAACCATCATAAGGTTGGATATGAAGCATTTGGTATTAACCAGTGTTTTCTACTTTTCTAGTACCTTACATTGCATTATATTACCAATAAAAGCTCTTACCATGGACTTTGCTTTCATTTTTGTTTTGACTCAGATATGGGTAAGTTCAGAATCATTTTTTTTTTCCTGGGACAAAGCTTACTGGACTGTCTAGTTCAACAGCCTCCAGTTGAGATGGAAAGTCCCAGAGAGATGTGGATTGTTTCTAGTTCACAGACAAATTTGGGCTCTCCTCACATGTCAAGGGTTTCTGTTAAATCTCCACAGATTTCCTTTAAAAATAAAATCATTGCTGAAACAATGTCATCGCAGCAGTATGACTGCTAATAATACCCCTTATTCACTGGTTCTCAATTGTTGCTGCGAATTGCATTTGATTTAGAAAGGTTACAATTATTACAAGGCAGAGATGATTATTCCTGCATAACACTGTCTACAAATGTTCACAGCTTCTACTCAGCACATCCATTGCTCCTACCATTCCTCCCAAATTCTTTCATCTCATTTATATTCCCATTACACTATTAAAATCGCGTTCCTTAAATATTGCAATAATCTTTTCCTCACTGAAATGATGGGATTTCCTCTTCCATTATTCTCATTGTCTTTTGAGCCAGATTTTACACCCTCTACAACTTGCTTCTCTTGAAAGCGTTTTCCCCGCCGGCCACGCACCTGCTGCTTCTCCCTGTGGTTCTGCTGCCTCCGCTCCTCTCTGCGCAGGCTCACGTTCTGCCCAGCGAATGACGTTCTTTCTTAAAGGCCCAACCGCTCAGCGATGACTCCAGATAGATTCCTTAACTGAACTTCAGCGTAAGTGAAATTGAACTCACTTTTTCTTTTCAGCAGCTTTTCTGTTTGGATTTTGTGTTTCTGCTAATGACTTCGTTGCAAAGTTTCTCCCAGTCACTCAGCCTGGGAGTCATCAATTTCTTCCCCACCTTCTCCTTTTCCTCTTTAAATCCTCTTGCGTTGTGTTACTAAATCCTGCCGATTTTTTTTTCTTTATTTTATGTCTTTGTCCTCGGAGTTGATCAACCACTTCTTTTATTTTCTCTTCCACCCTTCTCACTACAGTTGAGCCTTCATTTTGGGGAGACAGTCTCCGTGGGAAGCCATTTTGGTTGTTTGAGCTATTGAGCCTCGGCCCTCATCAGCTCACTGTTTTCCCGTAAGAGTAGAACCAGTGGTTGGAAGTGTCTAAAGGGTCGTGTCTAAATGACTCGGAACAACACTGGTAATGTTGAACTGTAGTCTAGGACGTGGGGAACATTCTTTGTGAGGGTTTAAAAAGAGCCTGACTGTCACTTATTTGACAGAGCAGGAAGCGAGCTTTCTCAGCCCAGGTACAATGGCACAGAATATGCTTACCAATTTTACTTGATAAAATTTTAAACTTTAATTTCATACTACCAACTAGGACTACATAACATAAGAGAATAAAAGTGTTGCTCGGATTGTAAGGGTAAAATCTATTGCTTCTCAGAAAGTTTCATTTTTTTCAGGTGGACTGCCTAGAATTGTTCCCTGGTTCTTAGGGACACTTTTGTGATGGGGTTTGCATTAATTCTTATCTTTCTAAATCTTACAAATTCTTTTCTTCATAACTTATTGCATGCATGATATTAATTAAGAAAAATTTTAAGAAGAAATAAAATCATCCACAATTCCCAAACTGTCATAAATCATCTGCATTAAAATTTTCTAAGTTTCTTTTGAGTGAAATTAAAATAATTTTGTTATGCTTCCCTCTTTTGAGTGAAATTAAAATAATTTTGTTAAAACTAATAGTTTGGTATCTGAGACACGATAAGCACTTCGTAAATGGAAATTGACTTGAGTCTCAAAACTATGAATCATGAACATTTTTCTAACTGTACCTCTATGAAAGTTCTTTCCAGAACCGAGGCCTTCTTTCTCAACCACCCCGTAACTTCCACTGTATGTCCCATATACTTGACATGAATATTAGTCCTTTATTATATACATATCAAAGTCTAATTAAATCAAAGTGTGATTAGTTTCTGTGTACTACCAAGAGTTATATCTTTATTGAGAAAAGGGACGATGTCTTACACTTGAGTAGTAAGGCAGGCTTTCATAGATAAGTGGACAGGGTAAGCTGACGAAGACATCTGGATCAGAACTCTGGGAGAAAGAGAGGCTAGCATCATGAAGACCTACTGCTGTTTTTTGTCCTTTATGATGCACGACAGGGTAAAGGTTATTGATCTGAATCCAGGACTGTTCAACTCTTACTCTTCTCTATGACCAGTGATTTCTTCATGGATTTAACCTCCCCAGAATGAAAGTATGGTGCTTAACCATTTTTATTCTACGTTAGAACAGACAACATCCATCATTATTATGAATTTCTGATCTGGAGAGCATTCTAGTGAGCAATCCTGGTGCTTTGATGGAATAGGCAAGATCTCCTTGCCCTAAATCTTTGGGTTATAGTACCATAGTAGTTTTTTAAAAAAAATTTTGTAAGGGATTTAAGGGCGTATTGGAAAGAAAAGACTTAAAGGAACATTAAGTAACTAATGGTGACAACACAAGGGCTACTACTGAATTACGACATCTTCTACTAACAATAAAAGCTTTTGGTTTTTGCATTATTCATTTCTCTATCCTTTGATTTTGAGTCTTTTTTTTTCCTTTGTTTTTTTTCCAAACAAGATCTCACTATGTAGTTCAGGCTGGCCTGAAACTCACTATGAAGCCTAGGCCAGCCTTGAACTCAAGGCAAGGCAATCCTCCTGCCTCAGCCTTCTGAGTGCTGGGATTACAGGCATGTGCCATCATTCCTGGCTTCAGTTCTGAGTCTTTGAGTAAGTCTGTACACTTTCCTAAGCAGACTTTCTTTTATATTTATAAGGCAACACTTTATAAGGCACACTTCAGTATGCATAAATTCTTCTGTGTTAAACAACGTTTTCTCCTCCCGCTGGCAGCAAGTACATCTGGCTGTGCACATCCTCTGACCGATAACATTATCTTAGTAGTAGATAAACCTAGAGCAAAAACATTTTGTACATAGATCAAAATCTGACATCAAACCTTGGAGGTGTTCACGGGATCACTGTAAAGTGTTTGCAGTGTTTCTAGCGTGTAGCTCTGGCTGAGAATCAGTGCATTAGAGAAGGTATCCCAGTCTCCCTGGGAGCGATAGTTCCTTGTTGTTACGCTTGATACTGTTTCTCAAGGGTGGCTGTTGGTTTCATATTCTTCACATTAGAAAATAGGTCTTAGTTTCCTTTACCAAACTGATGCTAATCATCTTTATTAAATGTGACCTCTTTGAGATACATAGTGACCACTAATTGGTCATCTGAACATTAATAAAATAAATATGACCTTTAAATAAATATGTGTAGATGTTACTACAGTGAGGATTAATGAACACTGAATGAACTTTAAAATAAGAGGCTCTGAAGATTTTTGGGGGGACTGGTGAACTTTTGTTTTTGTTTTTGTTTTTTGTTTTTTGTTTTTGGTACCAGGGATTGAACTCGGGTCCTTGCGCTTGCAACGCAAGCAATGGAACCACTGAGCTAAATCCCTGGCCCAAACTTTTAAAATATGATCAGTTTTGGAGGTGGGAATATTTTAGATGAATTGCCCTCAAATTCATTTTTTTAAGCAATAAACTTCGCTTGCTGAACTTTTTCATAGAACTGAATATAGAAAATAGGTAAGGTGAAGGCTATTTTGGTGGACAGGGAAGAGCTGCAACCCCACCATTCCATCCATAACCCTTGGCACACAGCAGTCCCTGAGCCTTGCAATGGGGTCTGGGAGTTCTCAGAACACATTTAGGGAATCACAGTTTTGGATCCAGTCCTGAGATGCTGTTAAAATATAGCACACTAGCATATTAATTCAGCATTCTCATTGCATGTTAATTATACAAATGAATGGGTTTCACTGTGATATTTGCTTACGTGTATGTAACAGGCCTGTGTCATTTCCATGAAAGATTTTGATGAAAGCTGATAGAGGAACAAAAGCGGTACTCTTGTGGCAGTCAGTACAAAGGGGAAAATGTAAATATGATAAAAATAAAGCCCTGGCCTTGAATAAATTGCTTGAACCTGTTAATCTTGGTTTCTTCATCTGTAAAAAGAGAGGCTGCCCTAAAACAGTGTTTCCAAAACTTGCTTGATCTGAAGGTTTATCTGGTAGGCTTAGTAAAGACAGGGCTGTGGTCCTACCCCTCTTCAATCCAAAAGGGCTGTGGTCCACTTTATAGAATTATATCTCAAGAGAGTAAGCAAGTTTGGGACCATGTTGCCTTAGGCACTCTTCACTCTCATCATTTACCTTTTTATGATTCTATTTGGTTCTTCTTTCTTCCCTAACCTTTTGTGATTGTTAATCCTGATTTATCAGTCTCATTGGATCAAGAAAAGCCTAGTCAGTTAGGAAAGCACACTCCTGGGTGGATCTGGGCGGATCACGGAAGTGTGATGGTGGGTACTACACAGCCTATGGTCCCAGCCCACTTTTCTTTCCTTGCTCTGCCTCCTGGCTCCCATGAACTAAGCAGCTCTGTTCCTCCACATCCTCCTACCATGGTGTTTCTGCTTTGGAGCCAGCCAGCCAAGGACTGAAGCCATGAGCCAAAAGATTCTCCTTTAAGTTACAGTTGTGGTTATTTTGTCCCAGCAACAGGAAATGACTAATACACCTCTGCTACAGTAAGGGTGAAGCAACCCTGAAAAGCAAAAATGTAAACATGAATTTCATGATGGAATGCAGCAGTTACGGTGAGGAGTTTCACTCCCAGAGAACTTGAGCAAACAGCTGTCAGAAATCTCTGAGAATGGAGCAGAAACTAGGAAGTATTGGAAGATTATGTTTGAGGTTCAGCAAGCCATTAAAATGTTTCACAATGGAGTGGAATGTGTCCTGAATAATGACAGATGCATCTCCACGGCTCCAGATCTCATCAGTCTGAGGGTCCAGATGGCATCATATAATTTTTATTTTTATTAAATTCTTTTATTGGTACATTGTAGGTATACAACACAATTACATTTCTCATTGGGAATTGTACCTTTACATAATGCATCTTG